AAAAAAAATATTTCATGATGCTTTAGATCAAAGTTTACACAGCAAATCAGTTTCTCATTCAATAGTTCATACACAAGTTGTTCCATGGCATTGCTTCAAGCTCCACAGTATGTCAGCATTTTTACCTTTTCCAGCCTGGGTTCTCCATTTTCATTTGTTTAGTTTTCTTCCCTCTCCCTACTTTCTTATTGTTTTGGGGTAAAGCTGCTCCTTGGCCTTCTCTGTTCTAAGAGTACATCCCTCACAGGTGTTACTGTGTACCTCATGGGCATATTATTTGGCAGAAAGGTGATCTCTGGGAGTAGCTTCAGTTCCAAGTTAGAAGGATGTGTTAGCACTATAGTCTTAGGGGTTTCTCCAATTTCTATCAAGCCAGTAAGTCTGGTCTTTCTTGTGAATTTGAATTTTGTTCTACATTTTCATACTATTCTAACTGGGACCTTCTATTGTGTTCCTGGGTAGAGTTGTCTGTAGTGGTAGCTGGACATCATCTAGTTTCTCTGGTCTTAGACTAGTGCAGGCTGTGGTTCATGTGGGTCATTACTCCTTTGAATTAATTGCTTTCGTGAGTCTTTGGTTTTCTTCACTCTCCTTTGTTCTACCCAAATCAGGAGCATCCCTTAAGGTTTATGCAGTGGTCAACTGCATTTTCCCATCTACCTTCTCATCATCTAAGAACTAATTTGGGGACCGTTGTTGCCCTTCTGTGTGGATGACCATTTGATCTTCATCTTTCTCCTGATGCTTTCATGCATGAGTTGTGTACTGAACTTATCCAGCTGGGATCATCTGCTATCATATAAAGTCCAGTACCTTCAGCTCTCTTTGTTGTCTCCTTTCATGTGCACTCCTTTTCAATACCCTCATTATTTTCAATGACACCACCAATCACTTAGTTCTCTAAGCTCGAAACTTTTACATTATCTTTGACTCCTTTTCCATCCTAATCACTTATACCCAAGGTATATCACAACAGTTTTGTAACAACATCTTTCTTCTCTGACTTTCTGGAAACTATTCAAATGTAGCTTAACCAGCTATTCAAATGTAGCACAGACTATATCTGTTGGTTCACCACTACTTCTAGACTCAGTGCCTGGCACAGAATAGATGTCTTGTAATCCTTACAGAATGAATGAATAACCAAATGGGCTAAAAATATAGGATGCTCACTGTAGCATAAAAACTGCAAGCATATTACTTAGTAAAAAGGAAAGATATTGGTAAAATCTGGCCCAATTATAGAATATTATAAAAAAAAAAAAAAATCAAACCTATTGCCATCAAGTTGATTCTGACTCACAGTGACTCCCTATAGGGTTTCCAAGGTTGTAAATCTTTGTGGGTGTAGATTGCCCCATCTTCCTTCCATGGAGTGGCTGGTAGGTTTGAATGACTGACCTCCTGGTTAGCAGCCAAATGCCTTACCCACTGCACCACCAGAGCTCCTATAGGATATTGTAACATAGTTAAAATAATATTAATGGCTTGAAAATTACTAATGCTAAAATGAAAGAGGAGCTGGACATAAATATATTGTGAACTCAACAGTGAAACCCTAGATAAGGAAAGACAAAAAATGCTTAACAGTGGGTCTCTTTGAATGTTGACTTTTATTTGCAATGTACTTAGTGGTACAGAGTGAGTGCTAGAGAAGTATAAAAGAAAAGTCCTGAGGCAAATCCAATAATAGTAATAATGACACAAATCCATGATACCAACACCAAAAAAAGAAAAAAACTAACTCATAGAGAGACCCCATTGGGTTTCCAAGGTTATAAATCTTTATGCAAGTATACTGTCCCATCTTTCTTCGGCAGAGTGGCTGGTAGGTTATAACCACTGACCTTCTGGTTAGCAGCCAAATGCCTTAACTATGACACCATCAGAGTTCTCTGTGAAAACCAACATCCATCTTAAAACTGTGGCTGCTACATCTAATTGGATGGTAATAGCTACTGAAGGAGGTGGTGTCAGCTTCTCTTTACCTTCTATCAGGCTGCCCTAGCCAATCATCAAGTGTCAAGATTACTGTTCAACTAAGACACTGGAAACAGACCCCGGATGGAGAAACAAGGACAGGAACTACAAGCTGACTATGTCTCTACAGTCACTAGAATCTAACTCAAAATTCAGACTGAATAGTAGCTTTCAGAGTTCCAAGTGGCTTTTTTTTTTCACATGCACACACACACAAACACACATACATGCATTTAAATTCTAAATGTCATATATACAGATGAATGACATATATACTGATAATCAGAAAAAAAATATTTTAACAACAGTACCAATCAAAAAATTGACAATATATTAATGAACAACCAATGGATGAAATTCTGTTGCAAGTGAGAAGACCACGGGAAAAGGGAGAGTCTCAGGGTTATCAATATTCAAAGACAGGGAGAACAAGGGCATGTCCCAAAGACTGAATCCTGCCAGCCTTACTGTCATGTTTGCTATGCATTGGTCCACAAGCCACACAAACCCAGAAGCATCTGCCAAAGGTTTCAGACAGCTGTGTAAGCACTTTTTGCCATTTGTTCAGCTGTTTTGAAGCCAGAGAGATTCATATTCTTAAGATTCAAACAAGGAGACTTCTTTTTCAATTGAGGACAATGTGAGTAGAATACACATTTTCTTATTAGTTCTAATTTTGTCATTTTGAATATATATTCACTGGGATGAATATGTCTACTGCTCATTTTTATAACTAATGGAGGGGAAGAGAATGCATCATGCCACATTAAAAAGTGGGTAATGCTGAAGAAATGAAAATAAATCACTCTTTCAATCTAAGAGCAGAGTTGCTGCTCAGCAAATTAGGGGCTCATTCACTGGGCAATTTTAAAATGTCTTAAAAATGATTTGCCCAAATTTATCACCTTCTTAACCTTTCCTGCATATGAGTATAATTTCAAGGAAAATGATTTAATGTTGAAATCTCAAAAGGTAGCATACCCAGCTCACCTTGTATACATCAACAAAGTTATCATGTTCCAGAAATGAACTCAATGGACTAGTTTTAAAGAAAGAAAAAAGTATACTGCTTCCTTCCACCAAAGCAGAGGAAAGAAAAAAGGGAAAGGAAATCTTCAAAAGAAAAATATAAAGGTTTTTACTGACTGACCTGTGTTGCCTTTCACATTCATTATAAAGACTCAGTGTGGGGGACTTAACCATATTAGTTGATTTTGTGCTTCAAAGTTATTAACCACCTTTTGGTATACAGTTCACAAGTGAATGAATGGACTTAATCTCTGTACTAAAACACAAAACAAACCCAATAATCCCATGTTTCATGACTTTTTAAAGTTGATTATCTCCTTGGCAATGCTTTACCAGAAGGCAGATATATAACTGCCGCTTTAGTAAAGAGTCTCTGGCTGTTTATATTAAAAGCCTTTTAAAGTACATTTAATCACACTTTAATAGTCATTCCTCTTCAAAGCAGACATAAAAGGTCACCGAGGGAAAGCATTTTTT